AGGGGTGAAAGGGGGGGATCCGGTGTGGGGGGGGGGGAGGACACAAGAGCCAGAGGGAGGATTGGGGCATGACTCTGTGCTGGGCAGTAGGGTTAGCATCTGGAGTCAGTGTCAGCAGTGGGGTCACAGGGTTCGTAAAGGGGACATTTTCAGCGGGTGGGGGCGTGGTCACTGGAGTGATTATGGAGGACTTTCAGAGTCTGACATGGAGAGAATGGGAAGAGCCTCAGGGTTATAGCTGAGGGCCACATGGTCAGCCAGGGGGCAGTGGTCAGTGAAGGATCAATCAATCGTGGAGGGATTCCAAGGTCCATGGTGTCAATGAAGGGTCTTGGGATCAGATCTGAGGGTTACAGGGGCATCCTGTGGTCAAAGGGTCCATCATGGGTTCCCTGCCTTGCCGTTCCCTCCAGGCTCCAGGCGAGAGGGGATTCTGGAAGAAGGGAAATTCGCTCAGGGGCTCTACAGCTAAGGCCTCATGGGTCACAGACAGCTCAGCAGCAGCACTGCTGAGCTCAGTGCTGCCCAGCACCTCAGTGGGCACCTCCTGTCCTTGTGTTGGCCCCCCTCCCATGTCCTGGTCGTTTCTGGGCCCACCCTGCATCTGCCTTTGCCCACTGGACTGCCATCCCCTCCACTGTTCCTCCCATTTGAGGGCTCTGTTGGGCTAAGGGTGGGGGGTGGCTTCTGATTCCCCCCCCCTCTCCACTGGCTTCCTTCCTCCCACAGGTGAGCACCCCCTCGGGGTCCATGTGCCCGCCCGAGGCCCAGGCAGAGGTGGGCCCCACCATGACCGAGAAGGCCAAGATGGTGTGTGCCCCCAGCCCAGTGCCTGCCCCGCCCCCAAAGCCTGCCTCGCCTGGGCCCCCAAAGGCGGAGGAGGTGGGCCACAGAGGCTCCTCGCCACCCAGGCTGCCCCCTGGCGTGCCAGTGATCAGCCTGGGCCACACCAGGCCCCCAGGGGCAGCCATGGCCACCACGGAACTAAGCACCCTCCGTCCCCCGCTGCTGCAACTCTCCACCCTGGGAACCGCCCCAGCGCCCCTGGCCCTGCATTACCACCCTCACCCCTTCCTCAACAGGTCAGTGGGGGACTGGGGCCTGGGGGGAATCCGGGGTCAGGGTCCTTACCCACAAGGCATTATGACCCACGACCCCTTACAGCCTCTACATTGGGCCGGCAGGACCTTTCAGCATCTTCCCTAGCAGCCGGCTGAAGCGGAGACCAAGCCATTGTGAGCTGGAGCTGGCTGAGGGTGAGTATGGGTTTGTGTTCGCCCAGCCATCTCTGCTGGGGCCCACGTCTGTCACATAGCCTTCCACAGGGAAAGGTTATGTGACATTGCACACAGACGTACACAGGACAGCCCACACAGGGGCTCAGTACTCAGGCAGGTTACACCCACGTGCAAAACCACAGACAAATGGCCAGTTCCACACAAGCACAGCCACCCACCGAGCCACAAAGAGTCACAGCAAGACACAGCATGGCGTGGGGGCTTCAAAATGACAGCCACGCACATGCACAGGCACACAGGAAACAGCCACGGGACAGCAACCATCCAAGAGACAGCCACACGAGAGAGCCACAGGACCACAACCACAGCCACTGAGGTCCATGGCCACACAGGAATTAGCCACACAAGCACAACCGCACGGCAATGATCACACACCACAGCCATTTAGATATACCAGGAGTTCACAAGGCCACCTGAGACATGAACGGCACCACAGTCACTGGGAGAGAAACTCTCAGAATGAGAATGAGAACCACAGGGACAGCTCCCCGGACCGGCAGCCACATTCCCTAGAGAATTTCAGCCCTTAACATCAAGGTGTAGACCGAGGTATAGAAGGTTTCAGTTGTCTGCAGCTTGGGCCTGTGATAGTCCTTGTCTAGGCAGCTTAGAGGTGGGGCTGCGGGGGGCTGCTAACTGGCAGGAGGGCTACAGGTGGATCCTATGTGTGTATCCCTTGGGTGCAGAAAGCCCCAGCTCCCCGCCGGGGTTGAAGTCCCATGAGGGTGCTGGGAGCCTGGAGTAAGGGTAGGTGGGGGTGCCTGCCTCCCCCGGGCCGTGGCGCCAACCCTGCCACTCCTGTCCTCAGGGCACCAGCCCCAGAAGGTGGCCCGGCGCGTGTTCACCAACAGTCGGGAGCGCTGGCGGCAGCAGAACGTGAACGGCGCTTTCGCCGAGCTCAGGAAGCTGCTGCCAACGCACCCGCCCGACCGGAAGCTGAGCAAGAACGAGGTGCTCCGCCTGGCCATGAAATACATTGGCTTCCTGGTGCGGCTGCTGCGCGACCAGGCAGCGGCTCTGGCCGCAGGCCCCGCCCCTCCAGGGCCCCGCAAACGGCCGGCGCACCGAGCCCTGGACGACGGCGCCCGCCGCGGGCCTTGTCGCAGGGCCGAGGTGGTGGCGCGCCCGCAGCCCGCGCCCCCAGGCGGCCCCGATGGCAGCCCCGGTGGGGCGGGCCGACCCATCAAGACAGAAAAAGCGGCTGTGAGTCCGGAGGTGCGATGACCTCCACGGTGTCGCCTCTGAGCCGAAGGGCACTGGGAACTCAGCCCAGGGCCGTCCAGGAAGGGGCGGACGACGCTCAGCGCCTGCCCTGGAGATAACTCCCCTGAAGAAGGGCCAGGGAAGAGTCCCCTACAGGGGAAAGGGCCCGGGGGTCTGGAAGGGCGACCGTCGCCCCCATGGGCCCTGCAGACCCTTTTATCGCCCACCTCCCGCTGGAAGTGGCCTCGTCCGCGTACCCCTCCCGGGGGAGAGGTCCGGGAACCAACACGTCAGAGCGGTCATCGGACCCAAGTGGTGCCGCATTTTTCCGTGCTGGGGCCACCCAGGGAGGTGGGGAGGGACCGGAGAGGCTACTCCTTTCTCACCGGCGCCCCCTCCCGGAGACTAAGAGATACGCGCTCCTCGACGGTGGCGGCCGCCGGCCTGGCGGGAGAGAGGCGCAGAATCCATGCGGCGGCCCCACCCCACCGATCCCGAAACTGTCCCGCACGATCGCGTTAGCGAAGGCTCAGGCGCTCTTGCTTTTGTTTTTCTTTATTTCTTTATTTCACATACACATTAGCCATTCAATGGAGAAGCCGGAGAGAGTCAGGCAAAGATGGTATAACAGAAGCGCAGTGACGGGGGCGGGGTGGGGTGGGGTGGGGCGGGGCGGAGAGGGAACGTACGGGCTGGCTGCCTACTTGCATTCCGCTAGGACACTGAAAACCCAGAAAACAAAACAGACAGTAAACTACCCTTGTTTCTTATGTATCTCAGTGCAGAGACGGGGGTGGAGGGCAGAGAGGGGGAGACCAGGCTGAAGGAAGAGGAGCGGAGGGACGGGGACGCTAAGGGGGAAGCACACCAAATCCATTAGTACTATATATAGAGATACTCGTATATACTGCGTTTCTTAGCCTAAGAAGAAACTTGTTTGACGGGACGGGCGGCCTTTGCGGTCCGCGATGCTGGTGCTGGTCGGGCGCACGGATCTCCCGGGGCCGAAGCGGGGCTGGCCCAGGCTGGCTTGCGGGGGGGAGGGGGGCGCCCCAAGGGT